TAGCATTACAAGCTACTAGAGCAATGTATAGTTTAATAAGAAACTCAAATCGACTTAGTTTACCAATTGATATCCAAATAGATCTTTTTAATAAAACAATAAAACCTATTCTTCTTTATGGGGCGGAAATATGGGGATATGGTAATATAGAAGTGATTGAACGAGTTCAATTAAAATTTTTAAAGTATATTTTAAATATGAAAAGATCCACCCCAAATTATATGGTGTACGGAGAAACAGGCTGCCTGCCACTATCTATTGATATAAACGGAAGAATAATCATGTTTTGGGCTAGATTAAAAAAGGACGATGTAAATAACCATCAAAAGAAATTGTCGTCTCTATTATACAGTATTACATATAATCTTTCAAAAAACTTAAGTGAAAATAATTTGAGAAAAAGAAATTCCTTGGATTGCAAACTTAAGACAAATTTTTATAAATTGCGGTTTATGTAATATATGGGATACACAAAATTTTGGGAACGAGAAGTGGTTAAAATTAGCAATTAGACAGAAACTAAAAGATATTTTTCTAAATGATTGGTTTTCCGTTATTCAAAACTCTAGCAAAAGTACATTCTACAGAATATTCAAAAAAGAATTTAAATTCGAAAAATACCTTTTATCAACCCCTAAACCTTTTCTTCGTTACATGATAAAATTTCGTACACGTAACCATAGATTACCAATAGAAACCGGAAATTGGGCCCGAATACCAATCAATCAAAGAATGTACTTCTTGTAACAATAAAATAGGCGACGAATTTCATTACTTATTTGAATGTGTTTTGCTTAATGATGAAAGAAAGAAATTTTTGAAACCCTATTATTACAGACGTGCAAAGACATTCAAACTAGAACAACTAATTAATACAGAAAACAAGAGCGAATATTTGAAATTATTTAAATTAGTTAAAAAAATAATTTTAAGATAATCAAATTAGTATTCACCTCATATGTGATTACTTACATTACTACGGAAGCGTATCAGGGCCTACAGTTGGTGAGATGTTTTGCGCTAAGTCGACTTATTTTTATTCGCATTGATAAGATGTTTTTGCATTTCTCATTAAAATTTACTGACAAAGATGAGAAGCTTTTAGGCATTGCAACTGATTTTTTCTTGATATGTTTGAAGCTTTTGTCTCTTCGACAAAAATCCTGTCGAAACTTCTTGATTTCACGACTTTGCTGAAATATTTAGTAAGACGCAAAGACGTTACTTGCATTGACAAATAGCTCACGTTATTCAACAAAGTTTTTTTGCAATGATTAAAAACTTCTACGTATTACGTATTAATCATAACTTCTTCATGGAATGTTTTATGTTTTACGTATTAATCATAACGTCTTCATGGAATGTTTTTGGTCAAAACGAGAAGAAACAAGTTTACATGACGTGAAACTTTTAGATAGGTGGAGGCCCTGATAAGCTTCCGTACATTACATTCCAAGACTATTATAAGAATATTTCACAGATTAATCTTTTATTACCCATAGTAAAGTTTTTGTTTGTTATAATATTTGTCTAAATAGTATGACACTTTTTTCATTTAGCTTATAAGTATGAGTCTATAAATGTCATTGTAAAGGTTTAAAATATTATGTCGTACATAATTGTACATCACTTGTCAATTGTTAATTTGTAACTATTCTCATAGTTTGTCGATAAAAAAAAGAAAGGTAATATAAAACGAAATTATACCCTTAGAGAGTGTCTAAATTACGTCACTCCACGGTTTTTTTGTGGTAACATATTTACTAAGAACTTTAACAATTTTTGGTTTTGATACATTGTTAATTGAACGTTCTGCAGTTCAGCAAATGATATGAATAAATACTCTTTTTACGGATTATTTTACCACTCAAATTATATAATTATACATTGTACATTTGTTTAAAGAGCTTCTACTAACATTGTACTTATTACTAACCACATTTATTCATGTTAACATGAAATGTGTGTAATAAAGGAAATTTCACTTGACTTGACTTGACATGATAAAACTTTTAGCACCATCGATTGGACAAGGAGGAAAAGCCACATTTAATCTTCCGGTTACATAATCATTAATTTGACATCTATTATTAAAAAATATAATATCTGTAAGTTGACAAATTACATATTAAGTTTTGTAAAAGCATTTTAGGTGTTAAAAAACAAACTCCGGACAACGCAGTACTCGGAGAACTTGGTAGATTCCCTTTAACAGTTTTATGTCAAGAAAGAGCACTAAAATATTGGATAAAAATAAAGAAACAGTCTATACCAGAATTGTTTAGTGTATATAGTGATCAAGTACATAACTTTAGAGGATCTTCTTGGGCTAAAAGTATTCACAATATAATTAATAACTTAGGGTTTTCAAATTGTATAGAGAATTTTGAAAATAATTGTTACTATATTGTATTATTCAAACAACGTTTAAGAGATCAATTTGTGCAGAAATGGCACGAATCTATTGAATTAATGCCAAAACTCGATTACTATAGAATGTATAAAAATGATTTTTGTTTTGAAGAGTATCTTAATATTGTTGATAATAGTAAATTAAGGAGACAACTTTCAATTTTTAAGCTAAGTTCTCATACATTAGAAATTGAAACCGAAAGATATATTGGGGTTGAAAGAAATGCGAGATTATGTAAACTTTGTTCTCAGTAAGCTGTTGAATCGGAGTATCATTTTCTTTTATGCTGTCCATTATATAGAGATTTAAGAATCAAATACAAATTGCCACACACTTTTCCAAATCTAAATAAATTTTCTAGATTAATGACAAATTCTACAAGAAAAAATCTATATCATTTAAGCAAATTCTTGAGAGATGCATTTGATAGAAGAAACGGACAATTATAAAATAAATATTAAAACAATCTTAGATCTTTGCTATGATTGATATTAAATTGTCGATATACCAAAAATAATCTTTACACAATATATGCATTGTTATGTAAAATGTTCATTCAATGTAAGTTTGCTTTTGTTAGATTTATTATTGTGTGTTTGCCATATGTATATTTATGCCGAATTGCAAATAAAATTTTGACTTTGAAATTTCACACATTGTTTTGAAAATATGACCTTGATAGAAATTGATTATATTTATAAATATTTGTGCTTAAAAAAGAAAAAATTATCATGCATATTTATTCATATTTTTTTAAAGAATTTTATCATTTTTCGACTGCACAACAAAAGCAATAGAAATATGGTGAATAATACTTCAAAATTAGTCTTTAATTGCACATAACATGGAACTTTCTACTTTTATACAGAACCTTTTTACTTTTCTTTAAAGCTCAGTAAATTTTTCTCAAGATTGATTTTCTTGAAATATTTTGGCTTATCTGGAGGTATGCATGTTTCCATTTTCTGAGTCATGTAACTGCACACATATTGGAGCTTTAGATGACATTTTATTGTTAACAATTGTCGAATGTTGACTGGATATCAGGCAATGTCATCATTATTAACTGTTCCCCAAGACTAAAATCATATATTCACCAGCAAAGTTGTTGGCGAACCATTTTGGTGAACAGTAAATGTTGCTATTTGTCAAACAAATCTGATTACAAATGCCAAAATGACATCTGATCATATTTCCTTATCTTCATGCAGACGAATGAAACTTACAGGTGCATTTATAATAGGCGTTGCTAGCAATATTTTTATCTAAATAAATGTGCCAAATCTAATATATACTGCCCTCCCATTTTCTTTAATACTAAAAAGGATTATCTTTAAAGTACACATTAGCGTTTACGTGCTATATAATTCACATGAATGAACACGTCACACCTCGTTGACTAATTGACTAACTGTCAACATTTACAAAATGCCTCCCCGAATTTAAATAATTGTTTACGGTGATCGGTTTTAGACTATTCATTATATCAATGCCCTTCTTCTCCGATTTCATGACTTTTTGTTAAATTATGTAAGATACCATGTTATCCATACAAAAAGACATGCTTGACTTTGATATCTTAAAAGTAACACAATTTTAGCGCTGAACTAGCAGTGATTTTAAAACTGACAAGAATTATTTACGTCAAAATATTTTATTATATTTTAATAAAACAGAATATTTTCCAATCCTAATGTTTTGTTAAGAGATATTTAAACATGCTTTCAAGGTTTTGTTTTCACTTTATATTTTATGTATATTAAAAGGCTTGATGTGTGGCGTTTCTATTTGTTTGTTAGCAAATCTCAAATGTAACATAAAATCGAGACTGTTCAATCATTAATATGTGTGGTGGCTTTTAAAGGTTTTGAGGTATATTTGAGTTGGATAGCCGAGACAAAAGTCGTAAAAACAACAAACGCAGTAACAAATCAGTCTAATATTTATTAAAACATAATTGTTTGCTGCAATCCTTTGTGAAAAACCTTTATTGAAGGAATATCAATCTTAATAAATACTTCATCTTAGAAATAGCTTAAGTTCTATTTTTGCTAATAGCTACATAACATGTTTTCAAAAGTTTTGACCGCGTGCTACATGACTTGTATAATAATGGATTTATGATTAATTTTCTTTTTCCGGTCTGGTTGCTGTAATCTATACCTCAATGTGGCAAATATGGTTACTAATATCAATTTTTAACAAATTATTGGACAATATATCTCTGCCCTTATTTAACCCCAAGTAAATAGATAAGATACATTTCCTTATATCAATGAATCACTTTTTATGACGTGTAACGTCACAGAAAATAAGAGATTTTTTTTTTTGAAAGTACGGGTTTCGTAACAGGAAATAACAAGTTGTACCCACGTATTGCGATATTCCATGTGACCTTTTGCAAACACTTTTTCTCTACAATAATTATATATATCAACTTTTACTCTAGATTATAACACTGGGAATAATCTGAAAAAGATAATCACAATTATATACAAATTATGTACATTATTTTTTATCAACAAATTAGAGAGAAATCAGGAGTTGTTTTTAACCTTTTCTTATCTTTTGGTCTGGCATTAATGATATAAATGTATTGATCAAACAAATATTCAGAAATAATTATGCTGCTAATTATGGCACATTACTGTCAATTGTAAATGTCAGGAAATTGTATAAAACGACCAGGATTTATACAAGTTCACTGCAGTTAGGAACAATGCTTTTCAAAGGGCTTTTTCTAGCATGTAAGATTTTTATATACATATATCTTCTATAATCATTACTTTTGTAAAGATGATATACACTTGAATTATTATTTGAACGAGTTTGTTATTTTAAACTATGCATGTGTTTTATTTTTAGGCATTATGAACAAATAACGTCATTTGATTTAATTTGCTGATATGATAATTTATATGATAATATATACGTGTTGCTTTACTTTTGTTGCAATGTTTAATATGAACTAAAACATTTCTAATGTTAACGATTTTGTACGAGTTAAATGTTTGTTTAATTGTTTGATAAAAAATTCACAATATTTATTGGCGCCGGTTAATCAAAAACAGTTTAAATCCTATAAATGTAATTACCAAGTGTCTTTTTCATGTCACACTTGACCAGTATTTAATGTTAGTACAATCTCATTTAACAGTGATCGCAGGTGAGTGTATATCTGTGACATGGGCTGCAAAACGTGTAGATGCTCACTTACGGGCTAGAGAGACAATGAACAGACGTAGAAGTCAGGAGGAGACCCTTCAACGGAGAGATGAAACTTCACTAGACACTACCGAATTGTTTCAACTTTCTCAAGGTATATACTTGCAAGATCATTGCCAAAATCAATATTGAAGTTTCACATTCCTTCCATTGGTCCAATAGACAAATTGGCTAAGAGACGGGACTGTGAAAATGCGTTTTTGTTACCAGCATTAAGATATTTCTTTTTAAATTCAGCCATTCTAACAGCTGTAGAAATCATGCGATCAACTTTCTGCAACTTATAATGATGTTAATTCTTTTTGTAAATAATCATTTCATAAAAGTTACAGAACATGAACTATATACCCAATCACGCATTTTAGTCCTTCAATAAAATCATACTGTCCACAATAGGGTATAATACGGGGCATAACAATAGCATTACACTGCGGGCACCGAAGGCATAATTTATCAATGTCTAATTTTAGAAATGAATTATTTATACTCGCCACCGAGCGCCGATATAGGTGAATCCTTCAGAAGAGTATTAGCCACTAGAGATTTTAAAGGAAAATGTGAGATATTGAAAGATGCCCCCAAGTCCATAAGCTTCTCGTGGTTCTTTAGGCTGTTTTAAGTACTCATACCCGGGACTTTAATGTAAAGTCTAATTCCAAAAACTATTAAGTAAATTTAGTTGCCAGGGAATTGAACGCGCAGTGTCGAGATTATAAGTCTCGTACTCTAACCGATTGAGCTATATTATACGCGTAGATGAAATTTAGTTAATTTATTACTTCAATATGTTTGAATAACAAATATTGTATCATTCATAGATAATTAAATAATAGACACATAATATCACCTCAATATTAATAATCCACACAGAAAAAAAAACAAGCAATTATCATAGTATTGCAAGCAATCCATAAGTCCCCTACCGGTTAGAACCCCAGCAACATTCTGATTTCAATTTAACCAGTGAATGAATGACATGGATGAACTTAAATCTTTCGAGTTCTAAGGGTGTCTATTTCACAGTAATGTGTTAAGTTTCCCTACCTAGTAAGGAAATTATGTTTATACAACCTTGTCATATTATTACGATGTATGATTTTAAAGTAAATCCTATAAGGAATGAAGAAGTTGGAGTAAAAAATACCAATTTCTCGAAAAAAATCTAAGTTCAAGGGGGACATAATTCTGGAAATAGTCTTGCTAGAGTATTTAACCTTCTCAAAAATGTTGAGTGATAATAAGAAACATATATATGAAGTTTGAAGTAGATACATTAGGAAATAAAGAAGTTATTTTAAAAAGACAACATTTTTTTTTCATAAAAATTCTAAGTTCAAGGGAGGTAATACTGATAATTTTTGTGCTAGAGTTGTAAACCTTGTCACATATGATGTGGTTGATGACCAGAAACTTATATTTAAAGTTTGAAGTAAACACCTTAAGAAATAAAGAACTTATAGTGAAAAAGCTGAAAAATTTAAATCAGAAATCTTGAAATCCAGACTATTTGTTGCCATAGCAACCAGAATTTTCAACATAGGAAGAAAAGAAAAAGATGTGCATAATCTGCAGACTGCCATCTACCCATATTTTAAGTTTCATAAAAATATTTTCAGTACTTTTTGAGTTATCACTGGATCCAGTTTATTTGTTAAATTAGCCATATTTTCAGACTATTTGTTGCCATAGCAACCAGAATTTTCAACATAGAGAGAAAAGAAAAAGACGTGCATAATCTCCATACTGCCATCTATCCATATATCAAGTTTCATAAAAATATTTTCAGTACTTTTTTCGTTATCGCGGGATCCAGTTTTGTGGATGGACGGACTGACGGACTGACAGACAGACAGACAGACAGACAGACAGACTGACAGACAGACAGACAGACGGACGGAGGGTAAACCTAAAGTCCCCTCCGGTTAAACCGGTAGGGGACTAATAAAGTATACATATATGAAAACAAATGTATCATATTTTAGGAAATAAAATGATTATTAAAACCTATTCATACTCAGTAATCTACGTTGATACATATTAACTTATATAAAGAATGTGAATGCGTCACTGCGACCTTGACCGTGATCTAGAAAAGAAAACTCAAATCTGTGCTTCGCACATCGTTTCAATACTATTTTTTCTGTCTGATTATCAGTTTAAATCTCTTACCATTGGTTCAAAGTAATACAGGATGGACAAGTATGACATTGACATTGATCCGAGAAAGCCCAAATCTTCTCTCTGCACATCGTCTCATTGGTCTTATTAGTAGTTCGGATGTCCTTCAACTGGTTTAAAAGATATAAAGTGGACATTAAATTGCTTACAGACGAACGAAGATATGAATATTTAGTGTTTATATGCTTTGATCTGTATGCGACATCCCATACACATCAATGACAATTATTACTTAAACCGACGATTTATGTATTTTCCTTCTTCATTTCTCGTTTTAGGTGAATCGCTTACGGATGTGCTTGAATCTGACGATGCCATTGGAACCACTGTAGAACGTCTTGAAGAAACTTACAATGGTATACCAGTTTATGACGCGGTCGTAACTGTTCGAAAAACGAAAAATGGACAGCTGACAGGCGATGCATCAGGTATTCTGATACAAGAAATAGATAAAGATTTAGAAGACACAGAGGCCAAACTTTCCGATATAGAAACTCTTCATATAGCATCAAAAGCGGAGGGTGATGATTTAGCTGATATAAGTGGAAGTAAGTTTAGAAGAATAATATTTACGGATTCAAATAACAGAGCCAGGTTAGCCAATGTTGTTAGCTATTTGGTGGATGGTGTGAAACGTCCAATTTATATAATTGATGTTAAAAATGGAGAAATTTTAAAAAATTGGCAAGGTTTTACCACATATCCATGTTGTGAAAGGAAGTATAAAGCCTGGGGTGGAAATGAGAAGAAAGGTCTATTAACATACGGTGATATGCCTTATTGTCTTACTCCCACAATCATCAATAGGACATGCTATCTTGAAAATGATTATGTACGTGTTGTAGATATGCAGAACACAATGTTTGAGAATATAACTGAAACTGCTAGTTTTGAATGCGAAAAGGGATATGGTGACAACGTTAACGGTGCCTATTCACCTGCAATTGACGCATTCTTTTATGGAACAGTCGTCGGAAAGATGTTTGAAGAATGGTTTACCTCAACTCCACTTAAAAGCAAAGTTGTTCTTCGAGTTCATTATGGCGATCTCTATCAAAATGCGTTTTGGAACGGTGAAAATACAACATTTGGTGATGGCGGTTTCATGATGTATCCGCTTACGTCTCTTGATGTTGTAAGTCATGAAGTTGGACATGGCGTAACCGAACAAGGCTCTAATCTTGAATATAGAGGGGAATCAGGTGGTATAAATGAAGCCTTTTCAGATATAATGGGCGAAGCAGCAGAGGACTATCTACTAAATGCTGACTTTGTCACTGGTTTCTCTATAATGAAGAGTTTACCATATTTACGAGAGTTCGAAAGACCAGAAAAAGACAATATGTCAATCAGTAATGTTGATGACATGACCGAACACGAAGACCCCCATTTCAGCAGTGGTGTCTACCGGAGAGTGTGGTGGGTCCTTATCAAAGACGAAGGTGTACCTATTCGTGATGCTGCAGGTGTGTTCTTGTATGCTAACAGAATGTACTGGCACAGCACAGCATCATTTTACGATTGCTCATGTGGTACATTAAAAGCGGCATTAGATCTTGGCCATGATACTGCTCCATATAGGAGGGCGTTCAAAGATGTTGGACTGGAAGATTGTGACATCAGTACTCACGTTTTTGGCTTGAACAATAACGTCACGCAAACCGGCATTCATGTGAGCGCTACAGTTGAACCCGTTTTCAAAATGGAAACACCGGAGTGGGCTGAAACTCTTATTGTTGATGTCTCCGAAAGCTCGCTGAAACGAGACGTCAGTATAGATAACGGTGCAAACATCCTGATAACCGTAATGACAAACGGTTGGGAAAATACTGGTGATGAGTGCGACAGTGCTGTTATTGTTACTAGTGGTATTAACAGAGTCTTTGTTGATGACGCTGCAGACGAAAAATATTTTTTCAGATTATCCCTTTCAAATGACACTTTCATCTTCCCCGAGGTCGTCAACAATTCCTCAATCTACTTCAACACAACACTTGATTACAGTTCCTACTTAGTCGATCTCACAGTCGGCTATACTTGCAAACAGAACTTTACATCGGATTACATGGGAACATGGATGTACAATATGGATTGTGACATGTAGCTCAGATACATTTCTAGCATTAAAGCTTGAATACAACGAAATCTTGCAATTTATAGCAATCCTGACTAAAAAATGATTATAAAGAAACAATATAGACTTTACTTTCCTTATATGAATATGCAAATATATAAACAATAGCAAGTCAATATTTCTTGTAGATTTTTTCTTTATTATTCCTAATCAATATTCTAAGATCAATGTCTAATTCTCTAAGAGCTAACAAACAAGGTAAAGGAGTTTTAATCATTTTAAAAAGTGCAAACATTTGCTATTATAAATGTATACTTTATGGATATGTTCCTAACTTTGTGTTATAAAGTTCCGCTTCACCACCCTCTTGAGTAATTGCAGTCCATTTTGTGCCATTGATATCTTTTTATGAATTTCATACATAAACATGGCATACATTTGTATGTATTTATTACAAAATTTATAAAGTGACAGATATGAAAATATATTAAGATTGTTGAATCCGTACAGTACTATATTATATATTATTATACAATGAATTCAAATATACGTTTCTTTTATTCATTATCAATAATGAAGCCTTGTGTGATTATTCCTTTGCTGTAGCAATATACATGTACATGCAACATAACAAAATGATTTTTACATGAATTATATATAAACAATTAAATCGTTAAAGCTATTGAAAGACATATACATGTAACATTTAATTGGTTAAATGCACAGGAATAAATAAATAATGCATCTTTAGAAATGGAAAGCGTTGAAATAATGATTTTAGAGCATGTTATTTGCTTATCACTTGAATAAAGCAGCACCGAAAGTCAAATTATTAATCGTTATTAAATAAGCAAAATCAAAGTACTATTTTGTATTCATATAAAATACTAAATGAGTAGTAATGTACTGATTGTCAAAAGGCAACATTAGCCGAAGCTTGTTCAAGTTATAAACTTATTTAGTAACTTTCTGGAAACTATAGCAGGGCATTAATAATAAAAAGCTGATGAGAATTAAGCTATAAGTATTTCTGGGGCATAATGGGCCTTTAATTGGGACTACAAAGTGTACCAACGGATAACAACGTTCTTGAAACGTACCCCACTATAACATCCAGCTAGGAAATGCAGCGATTTGGGATGATTTCTTAAAAATAACAGTCTTAGTTTTTGTGTGTAAGCCTTTATTAACAGTTTATATGACAATGACAAAGTTTGTGCATAATTAATTATGAATGATCAATAAATTCCAAGTAAGTTTGTGACGGGTCGATAATATAGTACAGAAACCAACTATGGGCGTGAAAATGTGCAAATGTGCAAATGGTCACAGCCTCTGTAGAAGTAGATACTTTTCCAATGTAAATGAATATAAGTTAACCAAAGAAATGAGATGAAGATGATTTTTTAATTTTATTTCACTAGTGAACCTCTGACCCGTAAAAGATGACAATTAAAAGTGAAAGGGACATGAAAGGCAAACGGTTCAAAGAAGTTAAGAATATTAAAAAGAATCTATGGACTTTTTTCACATTGAAACATATAAAGCAGACAAAAGAACCGAACAGATACAACACACATCGAGTGACTAGTTCACACGTATTGCACGGATAAACTCGACGACGGAAATGTCGAGTTTAATGAACATAATTATACAAAATAATAACCCGCATAAACAAAAATATGGAAAGCCACAGCTGCCGTTAATACATAACTTCATTATTTGAAAAGTTTTTTCAGACAGACTCGGCATGGTTACCGTCGTTAACAATTATCCTTGAGCTACATATTCCGGTATGCACCGTCAGCCGGTGTAAGATCCTTATATAACATATCAATTTATTACAGGTTTAATTCTTGATAGTTTAAACGCTTGTGCTCTCCCAAACGGATAAATAATCTAAATGATTACAACATGGTATAGGTGAGCTATTATGATACCCTGTGTCCGGCGTCCGTCGTCTGTAGCCTATCGTTAAATTTCCTAAATCCTTACACCAATAGTCATGAAACTATACAGGAATGATCCTTAGGTGGTCTTTCCAAAATTGCTGAAATGGACCTGGTCTGTTTGATGCCAACGGTAATAATAGAAAAGCCTTTAAACCTTTCTTAACATTTTGGTTAATTTTTTATGAAAGTACATAAGTATAATCCATAGATGGACGTAAAATTACCCATATGGTTCTGGTTTGTTGGAGAAGACCTTTACAAAAAATTGAAAAAAGTGTAAAATGACATCTTGTCCCAAATTGCCCAATAGATTTTGATGAAAATCAACAGAAATGATCATTGGGTAGTACATTATTGCCCTCTTGTGTAGAAATAGTGGTCCCTCTGTGTCCAGAATTATAGAAATAACACTACGTGTTGCGAGCAGGAATGTACGTGTCATTTGTTTAATCTTTTTTCTTGAATTTACGTCAATTTTGATTCATTTGTTTTGTAATATCTCGGCGTATCATCCATATAGTCTTAATCGGCTTTGCTGGATAACTTAACCAGTGATTGCTGATTTCTCTGCATGTGACCGACCCACTTTTCCTACATTGTCTCAGAATCATCGTTGAGACTCCATGTCTGAGGTCAATAATCCCGGGAATTTTGCCTTGTCCGGGGATCGAACAAAGAGTCCGATAGTTACCACTATTGAGCCACGCGGGCAGACTTGTGAGTCGTTTCATTGACAATCTGATTTAGAAAATAAAAACGTTGTATTGGCTAGGGCAGTCATGAAAAGGTTTTAATTGAACCATTTATGTAATACAAGACACGTATTTTATGTATTGTCCAGGTCAAGCAAATATAACTGGCAAGACGAACTTGTTTGGTATGAGATAAAACACAACACTTAGGTTGAATGAAATAGGGCATTTATTAAATGCCATAAATGACAAATGTTACATAATAACAAACATGACAAATGTTACATAATAACAAACATGGCATGTACATATTTGTATCGAAATAACCAAACTGGGAGGTAAAAACCGCCAGATTATGATAACATTGTAATGTAATTCAAATAGATTACAATCTTAACAAAAGTTATGTAAGATGACAAAGTTGAACCAAAAACCATCTACATAAATATAATAAAATGGATTGCTGATCAAAAACAATTGACCAGAAAAATTAAATATTTTCCAAATCGTGGTCGACTCGCCCAGGAAAAACCATAGTTTGGAAACCTGTGCCCTTTTATCTTGTGTCTAGTACCACTTGATGTAGGGCTCCATCCTTGGAAAATAGTTTAAACATTCTATACATTAAAAAGTGTATAACATATGACTAGATCATAAGTATTTATGACAACAAATAGAAAAATATTTGAAAGAGATAATATAACATCGACTAGTTTTATAAATCTTTGCATGAACAATATACATAATATTATATATATATATATAGTGTATCTCATGAATAGTTGCACAAATAATTGAGATAAACAATAAGTGAAACAACTGATTCATTAAGAATAAATGAAATGGTATTTATATCAACATCAAAAATTGAAAGAGGAGGATGGAGTTGGAGGAGGTGGATTTTAGTAAACAGAAAGGCGAGAATCATTCCTCGCCAAAATTATTTCTTTGTGATAGATCTAATGTAATCATTGGTTAATTAACATCACATGATTTAAGTCTTGATATCGATTGGCTAAGCCGTACTTGGCTAAAACCTGACCCGTAACGGCTAAAAACCTGACCCGTAATATTCTGTACAGTAATGAGTATAGGGACAGAACAATGACATAAATTATTTTATGTGGGCATAAAATCTATTTTATGTATTGTCCAGGTCAAGCAAATATAACTGGCAAGACGAACTTGTTTGGTATGAGATAAAACACAACACTTAGGTTGAATGAAATAGGGCATTTATTAAATGCCATAAATGACAAATGTTACATAATAACAAACATGACAAATGTTACATAATAACAAACATGGCATGTACATATTTGTATCGAAATAACCAAACTGGGAGGTAAAAACCGCCACAAAGGGAACCTTCCGCCACCCAGGGAGACTTGACTAGGGATGAGCTTGACCTGTAATAAGGATTGAAACAGAGGGGCTAAATTTGCCGAAGTTACCATTAATTTAATCAAGTCATGTTAGGACAAAAATGTTACGACAAATCATATATCTAATGACAATATTATTATATGTGTAGAATTAATGTCTAACATTTAAATGGATCCTGACTTGTTCTTTAAATATATGTGGACTGCAGCCTTAAACTGTCAGGCACATTACAGGATATGCTTATATATTATAAATATAAAGAAATTTACTCACTGATAAATTCATTAAGTAGATCTACTTCGAGTCATAATCAAAGCTTATTATATTAATTTGTTAAGACAAAGCAACAAACATAGACTTCATCTGTTCATAGTTTGTATAACAGGGCAGGCAGACAATGCAGTAAAATACTGACTTTAGTACAATATAACTTAAAGACATAGTAAACAAAATACTTATCTTTTGAAATTGTCTGACAAATGAAATGCTTCGGGGCGGCGACCAAGCTGCTGTTCTTATCTCATTGAGGAGACGTAGCTGATCAGAGTAAACAGGTGGCATCCATCTGGTGTAAACAGGTAAATATTGTTTAGACATGTCAACCATGAACCCTTTATTCGCCATAACTATGATCGTTTATGTTTGTTTTGGCATCTGTACAAAACTTGAACTGTTGAACAATGGTAACTTTCAGGACTCGTAAATAGTATGGTATCTACGAAATCTGTAATATGACGAGCAACGTTTTGTGGATAAATTCTGATTTGTAAATGTCATTAGTTCCAACAGTGTCCAAAGGCCGGCACAACTGTTTCCCGACTGATGATGTCTCAAACTTTCAAAGCTCCCAAAAAAGTTGCATTTCTACAAAAATATGTCTGTGAAAATTAAATCCATATCGTAGATTACAATCGTTCTGTCTAAATTCCCGAGTCTCAAATGAGGTGAAATTTAATAACGAATGTAGAAATGTTCATTTGATAATAAATTGTATCCTGTTACGATATCCTGCCCGTGTTGCCGTGAAATGAATTGCCATTTTCGTCACGAAATTGAATATGAAACGGGGGACACCGTCCCTAAAATTCGCTCCCAGCAGATTAATAAGATAACTGTTCATAGTAATACGTAATTAGTTCACTTTAAATAAAGCTTATGACTTCAAAAATAGATAAATTTTAGTAAACAGAAAGGCGAGAATCATTCCTCGCCAAAATTATTTCTTTGTGATAGATCTAATGTAATCATTGGTTAATTAACGTCACATGATTTAAGTCTTGATACCGATTGGCTAAGCCGTACTTGGCTAAAACCTGACCCGTAACGGCTAAAAACCTGACCCGTAATATTCTGTACAGTAATGAGTAAAGGGACAGAACAATGACATAAATTATTTTATGTGGGCATAAAATCTATTAAATATTCATATATACGTATAACATAGGCTCAAAAGTAGCCTGCTTTCTTATTTAATCCAGCTCATTTGTTTAGGATACACTGACATATTCTTTTAATTGAGGGTCATTTGACGCTATTCATTAAATGAAACGAAAATAACGCCATACTGGAGTTTCAATGATCGCCATGAATTTATTCTTCTACAGATGTTTGTTTATTCAATATCATTTTAAAAGATAATGATGATTTTCTTTTAAAAGGACACAATAACAATCTTAACAACCAATATGGTAAATTATAAATATTACAGAATCGATTTGATTGAGTCTGATCACTGGAGGCAATGGAAAATATCATCAACCCCTAATATATAACCCCTAGCATCGTATTAGGTGGAGCTTAAATATTATTGTGGTATCAAATACCAACTTTAGAAAAGGGAGGTCCTGCAAGAAAAATGACATCAAAAATAAATTTGGTTGAAAAGTGCAAACACGGTTTCATTTAGTGTTATTGAGATAAAGCAGAAGCAAGGTAACTGAACGCAATATTTTCAATTTTGCCGCTTTTATGTAGAAAACATATTTGAAAGTGTTAGTTGGTCAGATTGTCACCTTTTTAAATTATCATATCATGTTTCCTCTATTTTGCAGCAGTTCTGATGAAGTGGTTTCAATGACTCCAAGCCTTTTTCAGAAGGTGGAGTAGCTATGCTTTTAACTAGATATTAGAAGATTACGCGATTTCTAAAAGAAGCCATTTGATGAGCCAAATGAGCCGCGTCATGACAAAACCAACATAATGGGTTTACGACCAGCATGCATCCGCGCAGTCTGATCCATGCAGTTCGCTTACAAACCCTATTACAAGTAGGGAAACTGATAGCGAACAGCATGGATCCTAATCAGACTGCGCGGGTGCGCAGGCTGGTCTGGATCCATGCTGGTCTCAAACGCAGGTTTTTGTCATGACGCGGCTCAAATAAAGATGTCTGTGAGCATTCTATGCATTGCAACTTACACATTCATTAAACTCAAATTTTTTGTTGAGCTTCAAAATTAAACTTTTATACATGTATATTACGTGTTAAGAATAGTCTCTACTTTTTGTTTTATATATATAATTTAGGAAGGAACTGGACTTAATGTCATTTTCACTGTCAGTAGCGTTTAACTCGATAAACAGGTAGATTCAGCTAAAAAATATGATTTAAGAAGCAAAAGCTGTCGTGAAACAGTACTCATAACTAACAATATAACATTGCCATAACAAAAGTTCCCACCATTTATATAGAATGTTGATTAAATCTCTTTGATTTTATGAATGACTTATTAACTGTAATAGGTCGGATTATTAATACTAATTTGGGTGTAAATTGTTTATGGTGCATTTAGTGTGTGTTAAAACACGGAAGTCTGACAAATCATTAATAGGCATTTGTCAGCGGTGAATGGAACTTGAAGTCATAGAAGGGAAGCAAATCAGTTGACTCTAAGAATTTGATTTAGCAATGCGTTTAAGGATTGAAATTGTATGTAAGTACTTAACAAGTGTTTATTATTCTTAATGTATATTTTTCATGTTGTTTTAAATGTTAACGTTAACTTTTCGAAACGACGGAGGTTGGAAAGATAATCAAGCATGCATATTTATATAGACAAATAATAATCTGATCAATAAAAACATTAAAAGAATTTAAATACATATTTTTCACAACAATAACATATTGTCATATATTAAGTATGTAAATTGAGTTAAATTCTTAATACATCATACCTTGTGTGTTTTATGTGAATTCAAAATTTCTATCATTTTATCACTACATACTACTGTATATCAAAATAGTGTTGGTATGTTTGGCTGTTGACTTGGCTTGGGGAGCTCGGCGTATTGATGCACAAGTGCGTGCACGAGAAACTTTGAAAAGGCGCCGCGATCAGCGACAGTTACGAAGAGAAGTCCCGTTAGATGTTCCGGAATTACTTCAACTTACTCAGGGTATGATTTGTATTCTAATTACTGCTTGCGAATGCAGCTAAAAAGCGTATCAATTATTTCTCTTTGCTTATCAAACGTAGCTTTAGCTTATTGTCACACATACGAACTCGTCAAATACGTTGCATTTACTTAATTTTTTTCAGTTTGATCATGCGTCGGTCCGTCTGTCTTTCTGCCGTTTTATGTTTTATCTAAATTACATCAAGAGTGGATGATTTGTATTAACTAGACTCAGTGTTAATCAAAATATTTCAATGCCTGGCGTGCATGATTTAAAGGTAAAGCACATAAAGCACATGGATATGACATATTTTTCAATTGATAAGTTATGTGGTATTGCTGGTAAAATTGTCTTAATTAGATAAGGGCATTAAATCCTTTAGCAGAAATTATTACATTCGTTATATGAAAATCGTACAGTGTGCTTTGTCCAGAATGTATCTTAACCAAAACATGGTCTTTGATCATGTCCTATGGATAGTTCGAGATTGCGAAACGATTGTTAGCCTACTACTAGTATAACTTTACAAAACGCATGATATTATGAATGCTTAATGGTTGGTAAAACAATTATCATTCTGCATATAAACAGAAATCTGTCTCTCTACATATTGCTTACAATAGAATTTTGTCGGACATATATGCTGCAACTTAATCATGTTTTAATATAAAAAAGTCCTTGCCTTATTTTATCTTGGGACATTTCCAAAAATAATGTTAAGATAAGAAATGCGTGAATCAAAATAAGACAAAACTATTTCCAAATATACTCATGTGTCAAGTGCTGTGTAGCAGCTGTAAAACGTTGCCCGTACTTCACTTCAGTGTTGTTATATTTTTCTGGTCCTTTGAGATCATTGGTGCCGGCACTGTTGAGTGCTGGGAGTTTGGTGCCGCTCAGGCCGGTGCTGGGGGCGTGGGGGATGTTGCGCGTGTTCGTTGTCCCTCATGTACAGACTCAATCAAACCGAGTCTGCAGTTCTCTTATAATTTTGTTGTGATAAATGCTTCCGAGGGATCACTTTGTTTCCAGATTTTTATTAAAACTTAAAGAAGTTCAATATGGGGTCGAATCAGTGACTGTGAAAAAAGTACAGGATTTACAAAAAATGGTTAAAAACAATATTCTTTTTTGATAGTTTCACTTAATAATTTGGCATTCTTTGTTCGAAAGAAATATTCACATTTGAACGGCAATATGGTAATAATGTTTTGATTAGAATTTATTTGTTGTAGGAGAATCTCTTGAAAATGTTCGTGAGACTAATGATGTCTATGGTATGACTGTTGAGCGACTCCAGGAAACGTATCACGGGATTAAAGTCCACGACACTGCCGTGACTATTCACAGAACTAAAGATGGGCAGTTAACGGGAGAGGCAGTTGGAACGTTTGTACAGGATATCGAGGGGGACCTCCCAAATACAGACCCTAGGATTTCAAAAGAAGATGCTCTGAATATTGCCGTAAATAATGAAGAAGATAATATGAATGAAGTCACCAGCGTAAAAGACACAGTTGAAATATATTTAGATGAGAACAATGAAGCTCGCCTAGCATATGTATTGTCGTATCTGATAAATGGTGTTAAGCGTCCGCATTATATTATCGATGCAAAAACCGGAGATATTCTGAAAAATTGGCAAGGGCTTAATAATTATCCTTGTTGTGAAAGAAAATATAATGCTACCGGAGGAAATGAAAAGAGTGGAAAAATAACGTATGGAAATATGCCGTATTGCATGACACCAACTATAGCCAATGGCACTTGTTTTCTTGAAAACAAGTATGTCAAGGTTGTAGACATGGATCAAAGCAGCTATGAAACGGCGCATTTTGTCTGTTCGGAAGGATATAATGATGAAATAAATGGCGCATATTCTCCAGCTGCTGATGCGTTCTTTTATGGGACAGTTGTCGGTAAAATGTTTGAAGAATGGTTTGATACAACACCATTTGGGGATCGTGAGGTTATTCTCCAAGTTCATTACGGTAGACATTTGGAAAATGCCTACTGGACTGGAAGCTATTGTCAATTTGGCGACGGTTACAATAAATTTTATCCTTTCACAACGCTTGATATTGTAGGGCATGAAATAGGTCACGGAGTAACTGAATTCAATTCTGATCTTGAATACTACGGAGAAAGTGGAGGTTTAAATGAAGCATTTTCTGATATCATGGGTGAAGCATCAGAATATTACCTATTGAAATCAGATTTATTGACAGGCGGTATCTTGATGAAACACGCACCCTATTTGAGGGAATTTGAGAGACCTGAAAACGATGGAGATTCTATCAGTCATGTTGACGATATGGTATCTTACATAGACGTTCATTACAGCAGTGGTATTTTCAGACGGGTGTGGTATGTTATCGTGAAGGAGGAAAGTGTTTCGGTTCGTGATGCATTTTCAGTTTTCTTACATGCAAACAAAATGTATTGGCATGAAAGCTCATCGTTCTATGATGCATCATGTGGTGTTTTGGAAGCCGCCTTGGACCTTGGCTTTGAGACTCAACCATACCGAAAAGCGTTCGAAGATGTTGGCATAGCATATTGTTCGTCCGTATCCGATATACCAGTTTTGCAGAACAATGTTACTCAATCAGGGTTCCTTGTAAGTAATAAAAATACTCCTCGATTCATTATGAAAACACCAAAGTCAGCAGACACGTTTATAACCAGCGTTAGTTCAAACACGAGTGATGATATAGTAATCAAAGTGATGACCGGTGGTTGGGAAGAGTCTGATGGTGCTGGTATAGTAGTACAAGACGCCAATAAAGTCAAGATAACGAATGCTGGAGGCAAGACATTTTTCATAACATTATCACTCTCACAGACAACAGGAAGTGACGAATGTGACCATGATCTCGATTTAGTTGCAGAGGTTTCCATAACTGCAGGATTCTCGTGTAGATCAGACGAAGAGGATGTTATATTTTCTGGCAGCGGAAGTGGAAGTGGTGATGGTGATGATGAAGACTATAATAGCTATGAAGAAAGTGATTCATACGAATATTATCATGAAACCTATGATACGTACGACAGCTATGATACATATGATACATATGACAGCAACAGCTATGACTACGATTATCATTACGTGCATCGTAATAGAGGAGGAAAAACCAGACGATATACTACTGCATCTTGCTAATAGCAAACACGGAATAAATGAATAGTAAATAAAATGATCTGGTTCTTTACCTTTTGACTTGTTGCTTACATTTTTGTATTTTGTTATCATGTAAGGAAACGAACTTTTATTCAGTTGTATCATTATTTTTATTGGAATAAAAAAGGTCTACACACATGTATTCACCGCTTAATATATCCAATTCTGAAATATTCGAATAAAGAAAAAGATATCATGACACCTTGTATCGTTTTATTTATCAGTAGTGATATTAAACATCGATATATTTAAATTATTTTATTCAATATTACTAATCTAACATTTGACATGTTTTTAATACATAAAACAAATTCATTTCTAATATGTATTATTGAAGATACATTTTAGGCATTAAATACTTCGAACATTACAAAAGCAAAGTGAAATAATGACAATTACAAAGACATTTGCTTCACTGGTTCAGTGTCATAACAGTAACTAACAGACAACATCACAAACAGTAACTCAATAATTATTGTATTACATGATAACAATAACAAGCGGAATATTATAATGTAATTATAACAAAAATATGGTTATTTATAAACGGATTCTTTTCAACTTTTGAACATACAAAATTCAAAATATCATATTTGTTTCTAAGAATTTTATTTACAATTCATTGACAAAAAATAGGGAAAATAACAAAACAAATATGCTACTGCAAAATGAAAAATCACAGAATGGTTGAAATATCGTAACAAAATTAAAAGTCTTGATCCCACAAAATCTGTATGTTAACCAGTTCTTAATACTTTGTGTGTCTTCCCATGCCTATGACAAAGTGTAAACACATGTCTTACGGTTACGACGTATTTTCTCATGAAGGCTTGGGGAATATTTCTCTATTCCTAAATAAGGGCTTCCTCGAGTTCCAGCAACTCTTGCATCCCTAGCTTCCAGATCTAAACAACTGCTAAATTGAACAGGCGAGTGAGAAAGCAACCAGACGCCCCTTGCAATTTGCTGGAACCCGAGCAAGCCCTTGTGCAGGAATAAAGAACTGTGGAGCAGATTTGTTTACGTTGTTAAAGTCAATTGGGAGGACACACAAAATGTTAGAACTGGTTAACATACAGATTTATTGGGATTCAGAGACTGTTCATTTTGTTATGATTTTTAGTCATTCTGTGATTTTTCATTTTACAGAAGCCTATTTGTTGTTTGTTTTCTTTTTCTTATCGATGAATTGCATATATAATTCTAAGTAGGAAGTATGATATGTTGAATTTTTGTATGGTCAAAATTTGAACAAAATCTGTTCACAAATAACCTATTTATACAGAAATATGTAAGTGTCGGGCTATATGTGCCTCTGAGTGTAAGCTCATGTATGGAAGTCAAAATACTACTTTGTTTACATTTTGCAACTTTTAAAACAAATTATTTCATATATTTATTGCTACTTACTTCAGGAGACAAGCATCTAACATTCTCTAAAACCATTCATATATGCCCTGTTTGAAGGTGGGAAGTTATTTGTTTCTGATACATGATGTGTGATTAAAGGCAAATTGAGCGTCTGTGAGCTTGTACTTTTCTGCACATGACTTTGTGCGAGCGTTCAAGATCCCAGTACAGCTTATTAATTCGATTCCACGATATGAGTTTGGATAAATTGACGGTTGTTTCTTAAGGATAACCCCTTGCGACTATTTGGGAAATTCCCTGTATTTAGAATTTTCAAGAGGCTCAGCAGTTATCTCAAAACTTTCAATGAAATATTCATTTTATGAATTATAGAGTCATATGAATTTTTAAATCTTTTAACAGCACAAAGTACTTCATTGCCAGTGTAAGAACATCTGACTATGACAGTAAAGAACCAAACTAACTCGTATACGTTCCAATATTTAGAGGTGTGGTTCGAAAACAAGTTATGTTGGTGCTCTTTAATCATGAAATTAGATCAAAATTAAAATACATAGTCGATTAAGCCTTTTACATTGTGTGTAAACACATTCAATCACTTTTTCGAGTAACCCAATGAAGAAGATTATAACCAAATCGATAACTGGTATAAATTAATACATTGATAACCGTACAGGCGATTGTCATTCAATTCAAGGTCCGTTACACGCTCATTTTTAATGCAATCACTCTTCTGACGAATCCTCACACCATAAAGTACGTGAATCGGCGACAGAATGAATATATTTTACCGCTTTGTACCAGTCTTGGTCAATTTAGAGAGCAAAAGTATTAAATTATTGTATCATAATTTGGGGACTTTTCTGTTGAAAATTTGTCAAAGTTAAATCGTATACATATACACATGCACAGTGTGTTAACTGGAGTGCAAGTATTAGTTACCCGCACTCCAGAGCATGTCCATTGATTGGCTCATTTTTGCTGGGGTTTACTAATTGTGACAGCAGAGAAAGGGAAAGCGATAGAAATCATATTATTTAGATGCTCGTTGATTGGTTCCTTTTATGGGGTTTCATATTGTGACAACAGGGAACGTGTCTTTATGTTTGACTATGATAAAAAAGAGAAAGAACATCAAAACACTCGGCAATCTGATTAAAACTCGGGTGTTACGCTCCCTCGTACAAATCAGATAGCCTCGTGTTTCAATGCTATTTCTATTACTTATTATGGAATATTGAAGGACTTACAAAAGCTAAAATCTCTTGCAGTAATTTTATAAACTCGATATGCACTTAAGCTAGTATCTGTTTCCCAATACACTGTTACCGGAAGTTACAAAATCGCCGTGCTGCGCTGTTATATACATGTATGAAACGTATGCATGATTGATTGTGTTACATGAATAAAATTAGACAAGGGTGTTTTTTTTAATTGGTTGCCCATGTACTTGCGATGGTGAGATATATTCTATATCATCTAATAAAAGCTTGTATTTTTGTTGGCCTTAGCGATTTCTCTTTGTCCACAACGTCCTTTGAAATGTGTCTGCAAGTTTGTTTTTTCCAAAATAATCAAGCGGTACAAACATTTACAGTTGAAGCTTCACAATACCGTTCACAATAGATTCGTCACCTTGTTGCAGTGATTGTACTTCCTTAATAAGCGGGGGAAACCTGAAATTTCATTATTAAAAATATGCACATGTTTTCTTGTCTACTGCATCGTATCGTTTTATCGTTGAATCAAAACTTGATAAATAATTGTGATTTAAGTCATAGGTCTTGGTTACAAGGAAAGACACAGAGCAGTCTGCATCGTCATGCTCTTTCAAGGTTCTATTATATTGACTAGCTTGCTATCTCGAAAACCGATAGTGGACGGTTGAAATAAATGGAAGCTGGACAAGGCCATTCTAATATACGACAAATTACGGTTTGAACGTTGCGTTAGAAAGGCTTTTCTTCTTCCTGATTGCAAAATATATCCTCATTATTGAGGTACTCGAAAGTCACATGGATCCGGCAACACAGTTTTTATATATAAGTGCTTTATTATTGCCTATGTTCTATTACTCAGTAATTAACTCAATTCATACTAAATAAATCAAAATTGTTAAGCATTTTGATTTGGAATATTATGTACATTAGCTTGGAATGTAACCTTTATTAATGGTATTAACATTTACAATAATATCAGTAATTAATCTTGGTATTCATTATAGACAATTATATGCCGACATTGCTTTTAACTCTGTAAATACGGTCAAATTAAGTGATAGGGAGAATTACCCGCTTCGCTGCCACAAAAGGCACGCCTGTATTGTTTATGGCAATAAACATTATGTTTTGGCCTTAATAAAATCTTGAATCTCTTGGTTCAAGCATGGGAACTGACACAATACAAGGTCAGAAAGTGTACTGAAATGAGAACAGCAATCACCTGTTTATGTTACACGTGTACTTTGTGCATGCAATATTTCAAAAATAGATGATGATTATATCAAATATGAAAATAGGTACTTGAAAATTTAAAGCTGCATACCTTTAGATTAGCCAAAATATTTCGAGAAAATCAAAATGATGACAAATGTGCTAAGTTTTAAAAAAAGCTGGAATATTCAAATAATAATTTACATTTTATGTGCGATTAATGCCTGATTTTGCGGTGTTTATCACCATATTTTACCGCAGTACTAACGCAGTTAAAGAAAATTTTGATCTGATTTTGGTTATTTAGGTGGATTGTAAGGTTAATTTGCAATAAGTTAATTACTTTCTTTGTTCACTTCGAAATATACATTTATTACTTTTAAATACGTTTTAAATACGTTTTAAACTTTTCATCAGAATGAGCATGAGTCAGGATACACGCTGCTTTAAAACAAATGTTGTACACAAGCTTCGAGTGCGAACTTTTCAAAAGAAAAACTTGAGGTATTGGACACCTTAAAGTAAAGAACACCGGAAAATTTAACTGGCTATGTTTGACTAAGCTTGTTCATGGATGGAAGTGATATTTGCAAGCTACGTACCTTAACGTCCGCACGCCCCCTGACACCGGCTAAAACGAAACTCAATATCTAAACGTGAAGATGTAGAGATTTTGAAAATAATTTTGAATATCAGTATGTTCATATGGTGGTGATCATCGAACGTTTGTGCAATTCTATGAAAAGTGGCATGTTATTCATTAAATCAGCATGCCTCAATCATACTTATATTAATAATAAATCTAAAACTGTATAAAGTATTTACACATTGCAAACGGCACTTCAGCTCATGTAAACGTCAAAATATGAAAAATAGCCCTTACTGCGTTAATCACTCAGTAGTGATATGCTGGGAAATACTGCAAAATCAGTCATTTATTGATAATAACATAAATAATTACCTGAATTGCATACAATTTTCTTTTTCTGTTCTTTTTTTAATCGTAGTACAAGTATGTCGTAATACACCGAGTATGTCCAGTTACGCCGGAATGTGAAAATAACGCACGATTCGTGCAATAAGTAATTCAGAATTGTGCAATAAATGGCGGATACCTGACATGACTTCCAATTCGGTAAGAAAACTGGCCAATATATTTTTTATTTAACCGAATTGAAAAATATCAATAGCCGCATACGGCTGTGAAGACATAACTGTTTATTCCTCATCAACATTATTTACACGAAATTGTTTACTTTTCAAGATCATTCGTGAAAATGATGGCTTGACCACCGTTTTGAACGAGATTTTGACTTTTTGTCGGCTCTTTTAAGTACAACAATGCATATTATTCATTTCTATTTTCGGTAGGCAAGTCTTCTTGTGATATAAAAAATTGAAAATAAACTGATAAAATGTGATTCAAGCCGTTTTTATAAGGTAACGCCGATGTACGTGATTTGTGCTACGCGGTAACGCCGGAAAATGTTATTTGTTTTCTGATTTGGTACAGAATTATTTCACAGGTTTTTAACGCCTTTTATCGACGAATATAATCAAGTTATTTAAGACCTATAGTCAATGCATTTTCTTCGTAAGTTATTAAGAAATATATGAGAGTTAGATCTTGACAAACTTTAAGCATTTTGATTGTTTTATTCCTGAAATAATGCACCAGTAAAGCTTGAAAGTCACCATATGTCCTTTGTTGTGTTGGCGTGATGTGAAACCCAACCAAAAGAATTTTTTGGCTATAGCAATTTGTCTGGTGAACTCCTGTGAAAATGTATTATTTATTTAAGTTATTTTTTCTCTTATATAAGGAAGTAATTTGTATTCAAAAGATGTTTAACTTAAAAACTATAATGCCCAAAACTTGTAAAAGCATAACCTTATTGTCCTCGGCAAAAGTTAAATAAATAATAAATCTTTGGGGAAAGATTTACACAACTCTTAGGGTTTCTTATTACGAGTATATGTTAACTTGTATGGGAAAAAAATATGAATCTAACGTAAGAGTTTATGCCAGGCATTACAATAGACGTTTACAAAACTAACAGGACTAATGACCCTAAAAAGGCCACCAGTACAGAGCCACGTCACATCTATACAGAATGGCCATTTGCTCACTCAGGTAGCTCATTTGTACAAATACATTAAATATCTAATAGCAATCTCTCAGACTTTGAATGAACTGTTCCTAATTCACAGCTGAGCAAAACCATTTCATAAATTTACCAGGTAAAGGGTGACATAGTTTTAAGATAGGTTGAATATATTTTGGTTACTTACTCAATGTACATGTATATTGAGAGCTACAAGAGATGTGTTTATGAAAGGTTTCATGCTGATACTCGCCGATTAATGGCGTTAACCTGTGTAACAGTTCGGTACTATATATGAAAAAAATCACATTTTCCGGCGATACCGCGAAGCACAATTCACGTACATCGGCGTTACCTCATAAAAACGACTTCAATCACATTTATCAGCTTATTTTCTTTATCACAATAATTTTAGTAAATGTCACTTGCCTACCTAAAATCGAAATTATACGGAATAACTTTGTTGTACTTATAAGACTCGACCAAAAGCCAAAATCTCGCTCAAAACGGTAGTCAAGTCATCATTTTCACGAAAGATCTTGAAAAGTAAACAATTTCGTGGAAATAATCTTGATTAGAGATAAAAGTAATGTTTTCGCAGCCGTATGCGGCCATTCATTTTTCAATACGGTTAAATAAAAAAATATATTGGCAAGTTTACTTACCGCGTTGGAAATCCTGTAAGGTATCCGCCTATTTTATGCACAATTCTGAGTAACTTATTGCACAAATCGTGCGTTATTTTCACATTCCGGCGTTACTGGATATACACGGTGTAATAAGTTTGCTATGATTACTATCATAGTTTTGTATAGCAGTACACTTCAAATTTACATTTTCTTTTCATTTATAATTTCTGTTTCTTAGTCTGCGCCTGTTTTACATGATCGGGTATGACTGACTAGACCAGACCTGTGTATTTACATGACCGGGTATGACTGACAAGACCAGACCTGTGTATCTACATGACCGGGTATGACTGACTAGACCAGACATGTGTATTTACATGATCGGATATGACTGACTAGACCAGACATGTGTATCTACATGACCGGTATGACTGACTAGACCAGACCTGTGTATTTACATGAACGGGTATGACTGACAAGACCAGACCTGTGTATTTACATGACCGGGTATGCCTGACAAGACCAGACCTGTTTATTTACATGACCGGGTATGACTGACAAGACCAGACCTGTGTATCTACATGACCGGGTATGACTGACAAGACCAGACCTGTGTATCTACATGACCGGGTATGACTGACTTGATCAGACCTGTGTATTTACATGATCGGATATGACTGACTAGACCAGACATGTGTATCTACATGACCGGGTATGACTGACTAGACCAGACCTGTGTATTTACATGACCGGGTATGACTGACAAGACCAGACCTGTGTATTTACATGACCGGGTATGACTGACAAGACCAGACCTGTTTATTTACATGACCGGGTATGACTGACAAGACCAGACCTGTGTATCTACATGACCGGGTATGACTGACAAGACCAGACCTGTTTATTTATATGACCGGGTATGACTTACTTGATCAGACCTGTGTATTTACATGACCGGGTATGACTGACTAGACCAGACCTGTGTATTTACATGACCGGGTATGACTGACTAGACCAGACCAGTGTATTTACTAGACCTAGCGGATTTTCTTTTGTTTAAACAGATCTATACCTTTCACAAATTATAGATTTAAGAAAGTATAAGAAATGTCCCTGACGCAGTTCAAGAGGTAAAGAGCGACCTCAAAACTGCTTGTTCAAACACTAGGCTTTAAATGTGGCCTTAACCTTAAACCGGGACAGTTGAAAAATGGGATGGGCATAACAAAAGCCATTAAATTAATCTTTTACTAAACCTTCAGGAGCATAAAATGTGTTTTCGGCACATCGTCATGATAAGATAAACATTGTACCAAAGTATCATGAAGATGTCTCATTTAGTGCAAGAGATTTCATGATATAGAGCGGGGAAAAAACTCTGACAAATAGTTTTTGATCAAAACAATATATCAATAAAATTACAATCTACATATCAATAATTTATGATTGTTGTGACACTACTTAATGGTTAAATATTGGTCATTTTTATAATTTTCATCCATAATTATATTGTGACACTGTTTTGAACATTAACATATGCACTGGTTGTTATCTTAAAAATTTGCTGTCTTAATGTCATCGTGGGCGCATAAGACTTATTTGATTGAAATAGATTGTCTTATCTTGTCTTACAAATACTAGTATATGTTTAAACAAATCAATAAATTATTTGTTCAGCGCGTCCTATAAATAAGTACTAAATAATGCTGTCTTTATGTCATCGTGGGCGCATAAGACTTATTTGATTGAAATAAATTGTATTATCTTGTCTTACAAATACTAGTTTATGTTTAAACAAATCAATAAATTGTTTGTTCAGCGCGTCCTATAAATAAGTACTGTAATTGTCTTTCATGTGACTCCAGAGACAAGTGCAAAAATCTGTAGGTCACTGAGATAATATACTAAAAATGTTTTAATCAACATTCTGGGTATTTATATCTAACATATCATCTAAATAGCGAGAACAAGCATTTTATGTTTAAAAACAAAATGAAAAACTGAATGTTACTAGAAAATATTCACACATTGAAATTATTTAAAATACATGTTCAGTATTGACCTTAATTTAAATTGTCAATCAAAAGTGATTATGATTAAAAAGTCGTTTTCTTGATAAACAATTATCTTTTTAATCATGTTTATTCTCAAACGTTGGATTAAAATTATATTAATCTTTATGTATTTGGAGGATTCTGCTATTCCATCACACGCTTCCCTATGTCAAATCAGTATCTGAGCAGCATAATGGAAATACAGATGAATGAGAGACTGTTAAGTCTGTTAATATTTTTTTTTACTTCGCGCGCTCGCGAACGTGCATGCGTGCGTATGCGTTGTCTATCCAGCTAGCTTTCGGAACGTCGGTGATTCTCAGGTGGCAATTCGTGCCTGACGTAACTCGGTGGAGTAACGGAGGTCTTCCTCTACCAGTAAAGCTTGAAAAACGCCATACGACCTATACTGTGTTGGTGCGGAGTAACACCAAACCAAAATAAAAAAAAATATCTACCATATTTGTAACATCAACACTCGCTAAGGACGCTGAAATTAAAGTACTAGTATTGGAAAAAATTCATCTGTGTAATTGAGTTAGTTGGTGGAAGCTCGGTAGCTCCTCCATGAGTACGAATCTCTGTATATCATCATCAGTGTAGGCGTGGCTTAAAAACCTTACAGAAATACATTATTTCAGTAATAACAAATTTTTGGTTTCATTTTTAATATAATACATTTGAATAATTAACCAAAAAATTTTGGTTTCATTTTTAATATAATACATTTGAATAATTAAACAAAACACATGTTTAAGAAATGATAAAAGCTTTGAAAGTTTAGCAAAAGGAAACCATTAGAACATTATTAAACTAGTTTCGTATCTTTCGCTTCTATGGTCTTTTAAATGATTTTCTGCGTTTCCGGCAGTCGCGTTTATACAACTTAAGCTGGGAGCTGTTGGGAGTATAATTTGACAGACATCTGTAACCCGCCTTTATATCAGCATCAATGATAGCTGTATCATCTTCAAGTGCTTGTGCGCTTTGTAAAGATACTTTAATAAAATATTCTGTTTTCACTGGATCTGGAATTGTCACACTATTTGTGCCACTGCTTACATCAACCGCTGTGTTTGGGCTATTAACCGCCTGTTCCCATCCACCTGTCGTCACCTTTATCATAAACTGCTCAGAATTTCCGTTTTTGACACTTATAACAAAGTTGTTTGCCCATGGCGGTATCTCAATTTTAAAGACAGGATTGACTATTCTACCTACTTGAATGTCTCGGCGAGTTTCGTTGTTATAGAGCGTGAATACGAACTTGCTAACATCACAAGGTTCAATGCCAACATCGCTGAATGCATCTCTAAATGGAGCAGTATCATAACCAAGATCTAAAGCCGCTTTTAAAACACCACACGAGCAGTCATAAAATGATGACGTTTTGTGCCAGAACATTCTATTTGCATGCAAAAATACAGCAGCCGCATGCCGTATTGGCATTCCCCCTGTAGTGAGAACATACCATACCCGTCTGTATATACCACTACTGTAATGGGGATCCATATCTTCAACCATATCTTTAACATTACTTATTGACATTTTATCATTATCTGGTTTTTTAAACTCTCGCAAGTACTTTTCATATTTCATGACGTCATGACCCATCAGCAAGTCGGATGCCATCAAATATTCTTCTGCAGCCTCACCTATCATGTCACAGAATGCTTCGTCAACGCCACCACTTTCACCATAATACACAAGACCGGAGTTTTGCTCTGTCACTCCGTGTCCTATTTCGTGGCCTATTACATCAACAGAAGTTAAAGGATATGTATAGTCACTTCCGTCGCCAAAAGCACACGTCCGTCCATCCCAAAATGCATTTTCAAGAGATATACCATAATGGACCCTGATGACAATCTTGTCTTTTAATGGTTTACTATCAAACCAATCCTTAAACATACTACCGACAATTGATCCGTGAAAGAAAGCATCGGTTGCCGGAGAGTATCCGCCGTTTACCTGATCATTATAACCAGTATTACAGTCAAAGCTAGCAGTCTTTAATTTCTTATATGTTTCACTCTTGTTTTTCATATCTACAACACGAACATATTTATTTTCTAGGAAGCATCTTTTTCCTTTAACATCCATTTGAAGACAATATGGTTTGTCACCATATGAAATTTTCCCAGTCCTTTCGTTGCCACCTACAGCTTGATAGTTGTTAGATCGACATTTCTTGCTATTTAGTCCTTGCCAATGTCTCAAAATTGCACCATTTTTCAGATCTATTATGTAAAACGGGCGTTTGACACCATCTATCAGGTAAGACAAAACATTAACCAGTCTGGCACGATTATTATTATCCATGTATATCTCTTTCCTGATTTCAACGTTCGTTATTGTCTCCATATTGTCTCCTTCTGCAATCAGAGCTATGTGCAATGTTTCTTCGTCAGTGAAATTAGTTTCGAGGTCCGGTAAGTCTTCTTCTATTTCCTGTATGATTTCTCCAGAGGCCTCTCCAGTAAGCTGACCTTGTTCTGTTTTATGGACAGTGACAATTGCGTCATATACTTCAATCCCTTTGTAGGTTTCCTTCATTTTTTCTGTAATCGTGCCAGCAGCGTCTCTCTTATCACATTCGACTTTAAGAGACTCACCTGTCAACAGAACAATAAAGGTAACTGCGCCATAACATAGATTCATAAAAATCTGAATGGTTTTGAAAATAGGCCCACTTAAAACATATTTGTTCTTCTAAGACTTATGATATAAAATTTATTATTTAAAGATTTTCAAGATATTGTAAAAGGGCATTTGTAAAACCTTACCCTCAGTTAGTTGAAACAATTCAGTAGTGTCCAGTATTGTTTCATCCCGGCGTTGCATCAGCTGACTACGGCGGCGTTTGACTGTCTCGCGTGCTCGGAGGTTAGCGTCCACACGCTTTGCACACTGGGTAACGGAAACATACTGACATAATACAACTGCAAAAGTAAATCATAAAACATTCAAATTACATTTGATGCTAAAGTACATTGTATAAGTAAACTGCGTCTGTAAGACATGAATAAAACCATGCGTTAGATATATCTTAACTCTTACCTAGTAATATTATTCCCTTTGGAATCATTTTTCGTGCTCTATTAGATAAATGAATGCTTATTTGTGAAAATTTCAGTTTTATTAGCCAATGCCATAATTGCTCTCTGTCACAATACTATAATTTAGCTAAATACATAAATTTTGTTTTACATCTGGCATGTTTGACCTTTAAATCATGTAGTGAAAATATTGCAGTTGTGTAAATTATAGCATGGATAAGTTTTAAAAAGAAAACTTCTGCTTGTTCAATAAGAAAAAATGTTTCAGTGCAAAAACATGTATATATCTTAATTTGAATATGTGTGTAATAATCATAGTTAGAAAGCCTTACTAATAAAGGCATATACAGTCAATATAAATGGCGTTTATTGTAACTTCTAGATAAATATGTCAAATTGAATATGCTTGTGAGTCTTCATTTTTTTTCGAATTTTTCAGCGCCAAAGACAGTTATAAAGAAATATTTATCCTTACTTTTGTTCCAGATAATTATTATAAACAAAATTTTCTATATGGATTTTAATTGAAAGTCTTTAACCATGGCTGCCTGCAAGCCAAGCGTTCTGGTAGATGTTGAAATATTAATTGGCAAAAGCAATTATGTTCTTTGAAATGTCACGAAAATAAAAACTAGAAGATTAAGTATAGGTTAGTGTTTAATAATATGTATTAACAAAAATAATTGGTCAAGCCTGCCGCAGGCAGGCGACCAATTATTTTTGTTAATGCATATTATTAAACATTAACCTATTTAATGATCAACATTATTTTTTCAACCAAAAACAAGGCATTTCATTAAATCACCAATAGCTCCGCCCTTTCGCTCTACAAGATGTCTACACCTTGTCAAGTTTCTGATATGTCAAATTTAGATAAGCTAAATAAATGGCCCTATCAACAAATAATCAGGCACATTTTTTACTGAAATGTCACAGAATTTATACCTTTATCTACAGTAAGACAATCATGTTTTCTATCAAATATCTGGGAAAAAACAGCGAGGAAAAACAATGGAGTTAATGTTTAATAATATGCATTAACAAATTTATAACAGACATTTTTCTTAGAGTTAAAAGGATATAAAAAAGTTACTATGTAATCATTTGTCTCTGCATGCCCCACATGTATTATCTATGTAATAAATTAATTGATTGTATCCTCACATTTAGACCTCGCTTAATTGTTTTTTACGTTGACATTGTTTTGATAACCTTAAATAGTTTACAATTCAGAGTGCAAATCACACCTCTTACTCCTCCCTAATATAATGCATTATTGAAATTTGTTAGACTGGTTAGACACAGATTAAGTAAATTTTATTTAGTTAGTACACATTAACCAAAGTTAGACTTAGCAGAAATTTGAAAAATACTACAATGTGATTGGACAAAAAATAATGTTGATCATTAACTCCGGAATTAAGAATATTTGTGTTTTTTTCCCAGCTAATCCGTAGCTGTCAATAACAATTCCCAAGAAAATATCTTACAAAAAGGTTACAGCTATGGGAAAGCAAATGGGGCATGGCGTTCAACCCCTCTAAGTGTACGGTGTTAAATATCACCAAGTCAAAACACCCATTCAAGTCAGTATATTCAATCCATGGCCAAGTCCTAGAAAATGTCAATGACGCAAAGTACCTGGGTGTCACTTTCTCCTCTGATCTAAATTGGAACAAACATGTCAATCAGGTTACCTCTAAGGCTATTAAAACTCTAAACTTTCTTAAAAGAAACATCCCTTCTAAAAATTCAAACGTAACGGAATTTGCATACAAAACCTTGGTTAGACCCCAGCTTGAATATGCCAGTTCTGTCTGGTGTCCTTACACCCAGCAGAACACCCACAAAATTGAAATGGTCCAGCGCAGAGCTGCGCGATGGGTTACTAAGGACTATTCTACATACAACAGTGTCTCCTCCTTTATGTTAGATAAGTTAGGTTGGCGTTCCCTGGAAAATAGGAGAACTGATGCCAGACTCCTAATGTTTAACAAGATTGTGCATGGCCTGGTTGCAGCGAGTGCCCATACCCCCTTATATTCAGCCCTCTCTCCGTCTCACCCGACACTTACACCCACTTTCCTTCGGGCAGATTCCTTATCCATGTAATTACTATAAATATTCTTTTTATCCAGCAACTATAGTCTTCTGTAACTCACCGCCATCTGAACTTGTGCAGGTCCCCACCCAGGGAATGACCACTCTTCCCCGCCGTGTTTGAGATGAAAATATTGTTTTATCTGTTTTAGCTGTATACTTCCTCTTTTTAACTAACGCTATCAACTTTTTATTTCATCTGTCACAAATACATTTACACTCCTTTTAAACTCTCGCACAGACACGCACCTGCACATAATACTCGAAAGAGGGTGTTGCAGCATAAATAGATAGAAAGAACTGAGAAAACTTATTATTTTATTCAGATTAAGAGCAAAGTAAATTATTTCACCATTTAATTAACTTTTAGTTTTTATACTTTTAAGTTTTGAGACAATTGTTAAACAACCATTGAGATGTCGGTCAAAAGCTATACATAGCTTATGTTCTGTGAAATGTTATATATATATATATATATATTTACCGAAATAAATAAATTTCAAATAAATTACATGTACATTCAAAGAGCTTACATCTAACAAAGGGTGCAATGCAAAAAATGTTTCTTGATTGCTTAAAAACTTTTTAAGAAATCCATGTTTGAAATTTATGTTTATTTCTGTGAATTATTTCCAAATGATTTGTACATTTTTTATTTTATTACCTGTATATTAGTATAAATATAGTAAGTAATTCTACTAATTAGTGTATTAAATATATTTTCAGATCATTATAGATAATATAAATCCGTGCATCTAACCACAACATTTTTGTATCTTTATCTTGAAAATTACTTTTACTGGAGAGGAATTGATATAAGTATTGTTTTACTTGTTTCCCAAATCCAGTCTGAATTACATTGCTGTGCAATGTTTGTATTAAAATGTCATTTATGTACAATTTATTGAATAAATAAAGTTTAAACTAAATAAATTTTGATTAGATAGGTCCGTGCAGTGTACATAATTGCTTACATTGCAAACATTTAAATAAATAAACTATGATGTACCTGACATGTCTTTGCTAGAATATTCAACATACATGTATTTTCCCGAATTTTATTCTCCTAACTTTTGTTGTCTACAGTAAAATACCACGTAAATATAAGGTACCGGTATGATAATAGGGGGAAAAAGAAAGAAAACAAAAATTCTCGACGAGGATGGGATTCGAACCCACGCGGGCAGAGCCCAATGGATTAGCAGTCCATCGCCTTAACCACTCGGCCACCTCGTCTACATGTCGTCCTTTCAACACTTAGATGAACTGGTTTGAATTTGATATACTAGATGCTACTTGATTCACATCAATCGAATATTGTAATAATAATACACAATTTTATTTATTAAAGGTATTCCTACCCCCACATAGTTTACACATAACTGAAAGCCATATATTTCTTACTAAATCAATAATATCTCTGGACTCTGATAGATGTGTTGTAGTACTTTTAAAGTAATTTTGATATCAGCTTCAACGGAGAACATTGTTCGGTAATCGTAATCAAACAGGGATTCTTTCGTTACAAATAAAATAGGATTTTTTTTGCAAATTCAACAACTTTCACAGCATAGTAACATCTTGAAGCAACTACAAAGGTTTGAAACAAAAATAGTTTTGTAATTTTTAAGTTAGTCATCTATGTATATTAGTGGTTTTATTTGTTTATAATTTTTGTTAAAGTGTACATTTTCGGATGGTTTGTCACCGGATATCGACAAATTTTCATCTACATCGTACGTCGGCACAATCACACTTGATTATAACGCGACGGGTGGTGCTAGGTCAAGACAAAGAAATATACAAGAAATGATAGAAAGTTAGAAGAGGTTGGATAGGTCAAAAGAAAGAGATATAGGCAAAAAGTCTGGCCAGCTACATTTCGCCTCTTCAACCCAAACCTCTCCGGTTACGGTGGCCGCGGCCGGCACAGCCTTGGATATCACTAGTGGGTACTTGTAGCTGGGCCCCTAATGGCGGATTAGAATGTGAGGGATGATAACCCCTGCTTGAAGGATACCAAGTCAGGGGCCTCTGCAACGGGGGCAGGTAGGCTGTTCCAGGTTGTGGCTGTACGAGGGAAGAAGGAGCTCTTGTAGTACGATGTAGATGTGGATGGTAGATGGAACTTCTTGGAGTGGTCACTTCTAGTGCGGCTCGGGGCAGGGGTTAGATAATCGTTGACTGGTATGTCTACAAGGTCATTGGTGATCTTGAGCATCATGGTCAGCTGGGCTTTGGTTCGCCGTGACTCTAATGTCTCCCACCCCAAGTGTTGGATCATGGAGGATACGCTGCTGGTGTTGTGGTAACGTTTTGTCACATATCCTGTAGCTGTCCTCTGGACCACCTCCAGCTTGCGTGTAAGGTCCTTGGTATAAGGGTTCCAGACGGTGGAGCAATATTCAAGGCCTGGTCGCATGAGTGACATGTAGGCTGTGCTCTTGACCTGTTCATTGCTGATGCGCAGGTTGCGTCGAAGGAAGCCGAGTGTACTGTTGCCCTTCTTCACAATCTTGTCAACAGGTTGGTTCCAGGAGAGGTTTTAAGGTTTTGTTTTCGATCTCATATTTGTAGTTCATTAGTTCATATTAGCACCTTTCACAAATAAATCAAGTGGTCCAAAATGCTAGATCATTTTAGTATTACAAGGTTCACTCAGTGTCAATTTTAGTTTGCTCTGACAAATTCTTCCAATTATCAGAAAAAGTTAGTGCCAATGGCTCAAAATCCCCTATCAGTGGGAAACACAAATATATATTTTTTGATAGAATTGTTTGATTTTGTATTGACATGTATTTTGAATGTATTGAAGTATATTTGGGTAGTATAGTGGGTCCTGGGGGGTGGTACCTTAGGGGTAGGGCTTGGTCCCACGCCGATAACCTGTGTACCCAAATATACTCTATTAAAGCAGCGCGCCTCCAGATTCATGCTAATTTTCATGAAAATTTTAAAATGTGTTTAAACGTATTTTTTTGTGAAATAACCAAAAGGAAGCAATTTACACATTATCAATGGCACTTACAACCCACGTAAATTTCAA